CACGAGCAACTAATGAGGCAAATAGCGGCCAGTTCGGACAAGATGGCTTCCCTAAAACTCCGAGTTCCCGCCTCGCCGCTCGCCAGTCTTCCAGTCCCCGCCGTGGTCGTTCCGGTTCAAGACCTCGTCCCGATAGCCTATGCCTTTTCCATGCAAAATTCGGCACGGAAGCCTACAGGTGTGTACTCCCTTGTTCTTTCAATTCAACACCGAGAGACCAGTGTGCCGGAGAATAGAGGCAAACACTTTCTCTGGTTCTGCAGGCTCGAGTTGCACTTTCTACGTCTATGACACCTCGACACGCAAAGGGTTCTTCGTCAATACCGGGGCCCAGATCAGCGTGGTACCGCCGACTCCAGCCAACGGCCGCTGTCCCAATTCCTGCCTTCATCTCCAAGCTGTTAACTCTTCATATATTTCCACATTTGGCAGCCCATCACTGACCGTGACCATCGGCCTGCGTAGATCTCTCTCCTGGATTTTTTTGATAGCCGATATCCCTGACGCTATTCTTAGCACAGTCTTCCTTGCCGAGTTTGACCTCCTGGTGGACTGCGGCCGTTCTCGACTTCTTGATTATTCGACTGGTCTGTGTGTTCGCGGATTGAGTCTCTTCACGACCCCCAGAAGTCTGTCTGTACTGGACACAGATGTTGCTTGTGCATACGGAGAGTTTTTTTTCCAGCATCCGAACATTACTTACCCCCAGTTTCGAAGCGGCGAGGTTCAACACGGTGTCGTTAATCACATCCGTCCTCCTGTTTTCGTCCGGCCGAGGCGACTGGCACCTGCCAGAATGCAGGTAGCTAAGGCAGAGTTCGAACGTATGCTGCAACTGGACGTCATCCAACCTACCAACAGCCCCTGGGTGTCACCTCTGCACATGGTGCCCACGGAAACATTGGGCGATTGGCGACCCTGTGGTGACTACCGAGTCCTCAACAATGCGACGGTGCCCGATCGGTATTCCGTGCCCCATCTTCAGGACCTTGCCGAAACGCCGTTCGAAAAAGAAGTTTTCTCGAAGATTGACTTGGGGCGCGCCTTTTATCAAATCCCTGTTGCTCCCGAGGAAATCCCCAAGACAGCCATCACTTCATCTGTTGATTTGTTCGAGTTCGTCCGCATGCCGTTCTGTCTTCACAATGCTGCCTAGACTTTCCAGAGGTTCGTCGACCAGGTACTACGTGGCATGCCGTGTGTGTAAATATACATAGATGATCTCCTGGTGGCTATTCGGAGTGCGGAAGAGCACAAAAAACACCTAGCCCTGGTTTTTGATCGCATCGACAAGTTTGGCGTTATCATCAATCCCTACAAGTGTGCTTTTGGTGTGCCTACACTCGGATTTCTCGGCCATCACGTTAACTCCCAAGGCCTGAGTTCTCTGCCCTCCAAGGTGGACGCAATTCGTGATTTCTCTCTACCCTACTCAAAGCGTCAGGTGCAAAGATTCA